ACAGGGGGTACTGGTACAGAGTCAATGTGTGGGGGCACCGATTAGTAAAGGTAATTGAGGTAATATGTACATGTGGGTAGAGTTAAAGTGACTATGCATAGATAATAAACAGAGAAGCAGCAGCGTAAAAGAGGGGGTGGGGTGGTGGTGACAATGCAAATAGTCCGGGTAGCCATGATTAGCTGTTCAGGAGTCTTATGTCTTGGGGGTAGAAGCTGTTAAGATGCCTTTTGGACCTAGACTTGGCGCTCCGGTACTGCTTGCCGTGCGGTAGCAAGGGAACAGTATATGACTAGGGTGGCTGGAGTCTTTGACAATTTTACACCGCCTGGTATAGAGATCCTGGATGGCAGGAAGCTTGGCCCCAGTGATGTACTAGGCTGTACGCACTACATTTACATTTACATTTTAGTCATTTAGCAGATGCTCTTATCCAGAGCGACTTAGTTAGTGAGTGCATAAATGTTTTCCTCTGTAGTGCCTTGCGGTCGGAGGCTGAGCAGTTGCCATACCAGGCAGTGATGCAACCAGTCAGGATGCTCTCGATGGTGCAGCTGTAGAACTTTTTGAGGATCTGAGGACCCATGCCAAATCTTTTCAGTCTCCTGAGGGGGAATAGGCTTTGTCGTGGCCTCTTCACAACTGTCCTGGTGTGTTTGAACCATGATAGTTTGTTGGTGATGTGGACACCAAGGAACTTGAAGCTCTCAACCTGTTCCACTACAGCCCCGTCGATGAGAATGGGGGCGTGCTCAGTCCTCTTTTTTTTTCCTGTAGTCCACAATCATCTCCTTTGTCTTGATCACGTTGAGGGAGAGGTTGTTATCCTGGCACCACACGGCCAGGTCTCTGACCTCCTCCCTATAGGCTGTCTCATCGTTGTTGGTGATCAGGCCTACCACTGTTGTGTCGTTGGTAAACTTAATGATGGTGTTGGAGTCGTGCCTGGCCATGCTGTCATGGGTTAACAGGGAGTACAGGAGGGGACTGAGCACGCACCCCTGAGGGGCCCCCGTGTTGAGGATCAGCCTGGCAGACGTGTTGTTACCTACCCTTACCACCTGGGGGCGGCCTGTCAGGAAGTCCAGGATCCAGTTGCAGAGGGAGGTGTTTAGTCACAGGGTCCTTAGCTTAGTGATGAGCTTTGAGGGCACTATGGTGTTGAACGCTGAGCTGTAGTCAATGAATAGCATTCTCATTTAGGTGTTCCTCTTGTCCAGGTGGGAAAGGGCAGTGTGGAGTGCAATAGAGATTGCATCATTTATGGATCTGTTGGGGCGGTATGCAAATTGGAATGGGTCTAGGGTTTCTGGGATAATGGTGTTGATGTGAGCCATGACCAGCCTTTCAAAGCACTTCATGGCTACAGACGTGAGTGCTATGGGTCGGTAGTCATTTAGGCAGGTTATCTTAGTGTTCTTGGGCACAGGGACTATGGTGGTCTGCTTGAAGCATGTTGGTATTACAGACTCAGTCAGGAACATGTTGAAAGACACTTGCCAGTTGGTCAGCGCATGCTCAGAGTACACATCCTGGTAATCCGTCTGTAAATGTTGACCTGCTTAAAAGTCTTATTCACATCGGCTACGGAGAGCGTGATCACATAGTCATCCGGAACAGCTGATGCTCTCATGCATGCTTCAGTGTTGCTTGCCTCGAAGCGAGCATAGAAGTGATTTAGCTCGTCTGGTAGGCTCGTGTCACTGGGCAGCTCGCCTTTGTAGTCTGTAATAGTTTGCAAGCCCTGCCACATCCGACGAGCGCCGGAGCCGGTGTAGTACGATTCAATCTTAGTCCTGTATTGACTCTTTGCCTGTTTGATGGTTCGTCGGAGGGCATAGCGGGATTTTTTATAAGCGTCCGGGTTAGAGTCCTGCTCCTTGAAAGCGGCAGCTCTACCCTTTAGCTCAGTGCAGATGTTGCCTGTAATCCATGGCTTCTGGTTGGGGTATGTACGTACGGTCACTGTGGGGACGACGTCATCGATGCACTTATTGACGAAGCCAGTGACTGATGTGGTGTACTCCTCAATGCCATCGGAAGAATCCCAGAACATATTCCAGTCTGTGCTAGCAAAACAGTCCTGTAGCTTAGCATCTGCATCATCTGACCACTTCCTTATTAACCGAGTCACTGATGCTTCCTGGTTTAGTTTTTGCTTATAAACAGGAATCAGGAAGATAGAATTATGGTCAGATTTGCCAAATGGAGGGCGAGCTTTGTACGTGTCTCTGTGTGTGGAGTAAAGGTGGTCTACAGTTTTTGTTCCCTCTGGTTGCACATTTAACATGCTGGTAGAAATGAGGTAGAACGGATTTAAGTTTCCATGCATTAAAGTCCCCGGCCACTAGGAGCGCTGCCCTGTTTGCTTATGGCCTTATATAGTTCATTGAGTGCAATCTTAATGCCAGCATCGGTTTGTGGTGGTATATAGACAGCTATGAAAAATATAGAAGAAAACTCTCTTGGTAAATAGTGTGGTCTACTGCTTATCATGACATACTCTACCTCAGGCGAGCAAACCCTCGAGACTTCCTTAGTATTAGGTTTCGTGCACCAGCTGTTGTTTACAAATATACACCGCCACCCCTTGTCTTACCGGAGTCAGCCGTTCTATCCTGCCGATGTAGCGTATATCCCGCCAGCTGTACGTTATCCATGTCATCGTTCAGCCACGACTCGGTGAAACATAAGATATTACAGTTTTTAATGTCCCGTTGGTAGGATATCCTTGATTTTAGGTCGTCCATTTTGTTTTCCAATGATTGTACGTTGGCTAATAGGATTGATGGAAGAGGCAGATTACTCGCTCGCCGTCGGCTCCTTACAAGCCACCCCGACCTATGTATCCACTTTGCACAGTTCAAAGTGGGTACACCACATTACATAAATGTGTTGCTTACATATGTTTATTTTTCGCTGTTGTGTAACTTATCCTCAACCACTGCAATTAACACTGAAACTAGAGTAACACTAGTTCTCTGATGTTGTATACAGATGTAGGATCTTAATTTGTGCAGGTTTGCTACAGCAGGAAAAGAATTCTGCAGCAACAGGAAATGTGAATTATGTGGATTATAATTAATGGACATTTTTCTAGGGATCTATACATTTTTCGTAAGCGAAAATCAAGTCTGAAATGTAAAAGTGGAAATTAAACCTCAAATACACTACAAATTTACTACTGCATTGCAGGAAGGTTCTCCTGCAACAGGGTGATCTGATTAAGATCCTACATCTGTAATATATTAGATTACATCTAATATTATATGTTAGATTATTAGAGTAATATACCCATACATTTATGGGAAGACTGACTGGCATTGTGAAGTTTGTACCATCTCAGCCTTTTCAACTGAGAAATGTTTCTGGTGAGGGCTGATGGGGAACAGACAGACAACATATTGGGGGCAGCCAATATTTTTGTTAATTTAGATATGAAATGCATCAAATATAAAAAATATTTTTCAAATTGCAGTGTGTTTTTTTTTTTTACATGTATACAAATTTAGTGACGGGACTAAAACAACTTTTTTGAACAATTGCAACATAATGAGTCGATCTTCAGTACAGTAATACAATTTCATCATTTGTGACATCACTAATGTGAGTCAAAGAACAAGAACTAGCAACTGCCTGGCTCTAGAGGGAAGGGATCAAATCACCTGTCTCGGTCAATGAGAGAAGATTTGAAATAGACAAGATGGCGGCATACACATTGTTTGATTACTTCATGGAGCAAAACATTGATGTAAATTTAACTGAGCATTTTCTAAATTCAAACAAACCCCCTGCAACTAGACATGGACGTTTAGAAGACATTGGTTGTTAGGAATTGAGGAAGTGTCGCCACGTTAAGGTTGGTCAAAACTTCTCTGCGTTATGCCAAACAGTACCTAACCTGTAACAGCTAATGGAGCATCACATTAGCCTGTTACAATCTGTTAGCGTCAAATGTTTGTTGTTACATAATAATAAAGATCACGTAATTCTAAATGATCATATACATCTTACTTCAGGTAAACATCATTCTCAGTGCTTTAGCGGGCAAATGAAAGACATTAAATAAAAATACAAAGTGGTTTTTAAAAAACAACAGAAATGAGCCAAGTGTTAGAGAGTCAAAAGAACAAGCACTCAGTGCTGAATGTCTGTTTTCAGCAAGGCAGTTGTCCTCCTCAAAGGGAATTCTTGATTCTGAGACTTTCACTGTCATTCCATCATCTTAATCTCGCCCACCCAGCCAGCTCCATCGGCCGTTGAGCCTGGAGCCAGGTTACCGTACAGTGGTTCCCCAACTCCATTCCTTGAAAACCTCCAACAGGACACATTTGTATTGTAGCCCCAGACAAGCACACCTGATTCAACTTGTCAACTAATCACCAAGCCGTTGATGAGTTGAATGAGGTGCGTTTGTCCGGGGCTACAACAAAAATGTCTACCGTAGGACTGGAGTAGGGAAACAATCTTCCTTCTAGAGAGTTCCCTTAAGATTGTGGGTCCTCTCTACAGTGCATTCATGGAAATAGCAGCCACAGCAGGTGGGGTGAGGTTCACAGAACCCCAAACCTTCACACAACTCTACGCTTGCCACTATGGGGACCCGTGTTGGTTTTCAGTCAGTCTTGTGCAAATTGGTAAGAAAATCATTCTTACGTTCAATGTGCCTCAATGGGCACTGCAGCCCATTATTTGCAGTAAAAAAAAGTGCACCAGTTCATGGTGAACATCTTTAGGCTTCAGTAACAAAACTAGACTTTGTTGAAATAACATGAAAAATATACACTTATATTACACGTTTACAGAATACACATTTACAGAAGTTCATAAAAAATCCCAAAACACAAGCCTGTTTGCGCAAAACAATGTGAAATTGTATTACAGATCAAAAACTCATTACATTCGGTTGCTGTTAAGTTATAGTTCCAGTTCTTCAGTGCCGAATTTCTTGTCATTGATCAGGTATAGAAGGATCGTTCCTGATTTTCCATCCATTGTGATCATGGTTTATCTTGAACCTTCAGCAAAGACTTCAAATGAAAAGTCATTTTCTCTCGGCTGTGGTCGGAATGTTGGGGGGCAGTTTCACCAACCCAGTGACTGGGTGGTTTGGGCAGGACACTTGGAGACGGGGGCTCGCTGAATTTAGCTCCAGCATAGATCTTCTCTCCGTCTTTGAGCTCCTCCTCGGGTACAAGCTCAGCTGGGGATACATTCACGATCTTGGCACTGTCAGCTGAGTTGAAGGGCTTCTTCTCCTCTCTATGGAGGAGCTGGAAGGGAGCAGAGGGTGGCTTCTGGTAGCAGCTGCTGTCGCTTTTCATTACTGAGAGAGTATTGCCAGGTGCATTAGCGTGCCTGCTCCTATGGCTCCGGGTGTTCAGATTCTGGGCAGCTTGATTGTGTCTATTGAGGTTGTGGACAGACTGGCCTGCTGGTGCTGTGGCTCTCTCCACTCTCCCACTTTTTGACTTCAGCAGCTGGGAGGAAAGAAAAACAAAATTACAATCTCACAAGGTCAGAACCATTCTAACATGGTTATGTAAATTGACTTTCTATTTTGATTGCTACGCAGAACACTTGAGGAAAGAAAGAATAATTGCCAGTTCCACCTCATTTGTTTTTGGTGTCAATGCCTTATGTAAACATCTCAGCAACTGGCACATCACCAGCATGTTGAAATCCTTCAAAACAAGTAACCTAAATACCTGTAGCATGTCTATTCTGGTCCATCTTTTTAATAAAGTGTACAATGTGAACCTTATTCCTATAGGTCCACGGATAAGCATACCAGTGTGGGGTCGTGGGTTGAATATACATTTGTAAATATGCAAATTGAGTTTTTAGCCGTCAAAATAAAGTACGGGGAGGGGGGACTCCATCCCACTGTTTCAAGCGAAATTGTGTCACGTTGCATAATAATGCGTGTTGTTTACACTATGAATGATGGCTAATGGATACAAAGCGGCGTAACTTTTCATTAAGAATAGACAAAAAAAGACATCCAAATGTACAAGCACAGAATAACGAAAAACATCTTGTTCTCAAATTAACTCAATTTTATACCTCTTTCTTTGTTCCCTGCTTAAGATGATGAAGGGTCATCGCAGTTGACTGGGTCCGGTTGGTCGCGAGCTCGGCACTCTGCACTGGGGATTTCGAAACTGCGACATAGTTGTTGTCTGCCAGGCGCATGGGGTTGTTTCTCATCGGTTTTTGCTGGTGTGTCCGCTGCAACCCCAACGTTGTCGAACGCAGTTTTCTTCCACCTTTCTTCAGCAGTGCTTGCCTTGGTTTGATTAGGTTGGCCCCGACATGGTGACAGGTCAAAATGGATGGCTTACTGTTTTCAATATGATGACTTAGTGATTCGCCCAACATGACTTCAAAGTCCCGTGAAGGTGGCGAGGGAGGATACATCGACGGAACTAGCTACGCTAACTTCTGAAAAATAGTCAGGCTTGGCTAACGTAACCAGCTACCGACGTTAAGTTATTTACCTCATTGGCTTAGTACTTCGCTATCAACAGCTAACGTTTGTCGCTGGCGGAACTGAAGTCTCCAAAAACCTCTATGCAGATCAATTGCAGTGGGTTTTTGATAGTACATTGAGGACGAGTTCAACGATGTTGATGGCGTAGCTAATCTTGTAACTCTAAACTAGGTCTTCGAAGACTCGAGATGGCGCTTCTTCTTCTTCGATGAGGTTTAACCGCGGATGCCATCCAATTTGTTGCATTACCGCCACCTACTAGACTGGAGTACAACTCCCTTATATTTTGCTTGTAAAATAAATAAATACCCTACCATCTAACACTACACTCACAAATTCAAAAATATTATTAATCATTAACACCCCCCTACTCCACTATTTAAATATATTCACTCCTACCTCATGCCCTCGACCTGAAATGGGACATCACCACTTAACACTCCCTGTAACTCTTCTGATGTCATGTCTCGCACACCCAATACCTCTCTGCAGCTGCCACCACAACCTCAATTTTCTTTGACTTACGTTCCATCCCTGCAGTACAATTAATAACCATTGCTATAAATGCTAAAAATCCAATCTTACTGAAACATATATCACTTGTTGGCCTATCCCTCTGTACTGGTGCAAACCTACTACTCTCACCACTCCTCACCCTTGACCCATCTTCCTCTACTTTCTTCACTGCCTCAGCATATGACAACTTCTTCACTACTCTTACCCTGGAAACCTCAACCTGCCTCTCTCGCACAGGTCATTTCTGATCCCCAGCCCCATGGGCACCCCTACAGTTATCACATACCACTACTTTCCCCAATGCTACACATTCCTTTGTCTCATGCCCTTGTGCACACTGTGTGTAGGAACCTCCCTCCTACACACTGCTGCCACATGCCCATAAGTTTGACAACTGTAACATCGTAATGTATTCGGCACATAAGCTCGTACAGGATAACTTATATATCCTAACTTCACTTTGTCAGGCAAAGACTCAACTTCAAAACTCAAAAGAACAGACAATTACTCTTCTGTTTCCCCACTCTCGCCACCCTGTTTGCGTCGCACCAAACGACGAGCATCACAAACACCGGAATCTTCCCCTTCAGTTGGTCAACTTTTACATTTACATTTACTGCTACCCCAGTAATCACTCCTTTCAATGGCACCCTTTTCCTGAGAGCGAAACAATTCACAATTATTTCCCCCATTTGTTTAACTCTGAGCGCCTTCTCCCTCTGACCAACAGAAACACAAACAATTATCACTAGACCACTTTGAGATGGCGCATGACAACTTCCTGACTATACACGCTATTCGCAAAACCCCGGATGTACATAGCCGCCACCATTTTAATTGGACAATGCAGGGGAAGCATGAAATTGCAGACCTCCCATGTTGGAAATTAAGTAATGTATGTTGTCATTCATTCTCATGATGGGTACTTTCCAAGCCTTCGAGTATCGGGGCCTGGGGGTATCTATCTGACTGGCCACCTGCCTCTCTGTCTGTCAGTGTAACACAGTAATATAATCATTTTCATTACACAGAGAGATGTTTTCCAGACACACATTATTGTTTTGTTTTCCTCATGTGTCTGTCCTCTGAGCCAGGCAGCCAGCACTGTTTTAGTATTCAGATCGCACTGAGGGAGGGCATTCAAGCTGTTGCTGAGCTCTTGTACATCTGCTTGCCTGGTTGGATCCGCAGCATCAAAATCGCTAGGCAACAGCTGCTGCCTGTGTTGCTGGGCCGGGGGAAAAGTCTCATCACATGAGCAGACCCTCTGTGATTGGACATCCTGATCAACATTTTCTCCATTTCATTTTCTTTTTCCACATACACACACAAAGATTACGTAATGATTGTTCAGATTTGGTGGTCTGATGTACACTCATAGTATCGTAGACAGCTGTCCTGGCCACATGTTCCCTAAACAAAGCGAAGGGAAATTAATCCTGTCATGTGCATATTTGTCCTCTGTCCCTCTGCTCCATGAGCACGTGCACTACCATACTATTGCACTCAGTTGAGCAACATTACATGATCAGACACAACAACATCTGTGCCTGTCATGGGCTGGGTAGTGAGGGATATGGGCAGGATATCTTATTTACATTATATAATTACGGGTTGAATGGATCAGATATTGTATTGGAATCCCCTTTGTATCTACAGTATATAAAAACATCAGACCAATAATATATAATTAATACTCACATTCATACATATGATATGAAGGGTGGCATGGAGAACTGCATGGATGAGGCATGTAGAGAACCTAAAACAGAGAAAAGTTCTCCCTTTGAGGGTAGTGCGTACGTCCCAGTACATCACTGGGGCCAAGCTTCCTGCCATCCAGGATCTCTATACCAGGCGGTGTAAAATTGTCAAAGACTCCAACTACCCTAGTCATAGACTGTTCTCTCTGCTATCGCACGGCAAGTGGTACCGGAGTGCCAAGTCTAGGTCCAAAAGACTTCTCAACAGCTTCTACCCCCAAGCCATAAGACTCCTGAACAGCTAATCATGGCTACCCGGACTATTCGCACTGCCCCCCCCCCCCCCCCCCCCCCCCCCACCCCCCCACCCCACCACCACCCCCACTTCTGCTATTATTTTCTCAACACTTTTTTGTTGTTGTTTTATTTTACTTCTTTATAAAAAAAAAAATGCATTGTTGGTTAAGGGCTGTAAGTAAGCATTTCACTGTAATGTCTACAGTAAAGTAAAGTACAGATGAAACAAAACTACTTAAGGACTTTACCCCACTTTTGTGTCATATTTTGTTGCGGTTGTACAATTTCATAATTTACGAAATAGTCTTCCACACATTAAGCAACGAGGAATTTTGGGGTTAGTCTACCACCTAATGGTTATTTTAAGTAACTGCCATCTAATGGCAAAACAGCGCGGTGCACACTGGGAGAAATTGAGGATTTGATTTGAGTTAATTCATGGACATTTATTTGGGTTCTTGAGAAAACGGAGGATTACCTCGACATTTGGACATTGAACAATCGTGAGTAAAAACCTATATTTGAATTGATTTTCTTATTCCTGTATTAGATCCTAAGGGCTGGGTTAGGCCCTACATCTAACAAAATGATCTTAATTTTCAAGGCCCCAAATCCGCAGAGCATTGGCGCACGAGAGCTCGCGGTGAAGGGTGATCTCTCAGGGAACGTAACACCGATGTTCAGCTAACGGACTTGCTGTGGCTAACGTTGGCTACTTCTTCAGTTTGTGAAATTACAGTAGCCACGCTTGGACAAAATGTCACACACTGGGCCTCCCCCTCGATGGCGGAATTGTCCTAGAAGAGGACAACCTGTAGCAGGTGAGTGGCGAAAGCTTGTTGTGTTGCTACAACATTGGCTACAGTACTGGTGTTGTGGCGCACGAGCTACCTAGCTAACTGTCTCGCACACGGCAACTTGTCTCACATTTTGTTAACACAAGTCAATGATTCAGACCTTTTTATGACCTTTCGTTTGATCAACTATGTATTCACTGGACGAGAACCGCGTGTCACCTTAGACTAGAGGCAAAACCCCAATGCAAACACTGTTAGCTAACGTTATGTTAGCCCTTGTAGAAGTCGAGTACATCACGTGTCACAACAAACCAGCATACATATCTATTCGTGTTAATATGACGTGCTCAACAAGAAAAACAGACTAAAAATAAAGCTAAAGTAAACACTAATGGTCGGTGTTTCTATAGCTACCCCAGCTAAGAAGGGTGTGTGTTTTTGTAGTTAGGATTAGCTAGCCAGATTAGGATACATGAAACGTCACACGCCATTCGCTTAGAACCATGAAAATGAATCATGCTTACTAAGGGCGCTCCTTTTACGTTTTATTTCATGTAAATGAGCTAATAACCATGTCATGATGTATGGAAAACATAGGACAGTGAGTGTAGATACATGAGTGGTACTGTTTTCATGGTGTCTGTATATGTTGTGGTGACCAGTCTGTGACCCCTCTTACTTTCACTGCCTCACCAGGTAAATTCCTGCCAATGAAAACTATGTTGGGCCCCAAGTATGATGACAAAGTGCCAGAAGAGAACAGGTTTCATCCAAGCATGCTATCCCAGTATTTAAAGAGTCTAAAGGTATGTATTTCCTGATGTTGAAATTTGTTTACTAGTAATTTGTCTCTGTTTGGGAAAATATACATTGTTTAATGTCAACGTATGTTTTGTGTCTTCTCTAGGTTAAAATGGGTTTGCTTGTTGATCTAACAAACACTACTCGCTTCTATGACCGCAACGAGATCGAAAAAGAGGGTGTTAAATATGTGAAGCTTCAGTGCAAAGGGTATGTATGAGTGACCTGTTTTTAAAACTCAATATTTATTGTCCATGTTTACATATAGAATTGCCACTAGTTCAAAATAATGATATCATTTCGTGATTGAATATGTTGTGATGAGTTCCTTCCTTGTTTAGCCATGGAGAGTGTCCTTCAGCAGAGACCACTGCGAAGTTCATCAGACTATGTGAGCACTTCATGGAGAAGACTCCAACTGAATTGATAGGTAAGGAATGTTTGTACTGGAGCTGTACATTTCTTCTTCATTGTCGGACAATGTCCCAGGGTCTGGCTTGTTGTTCACGTGGAAAAACATGTTATTTATGATTTTGATAAGAGTCAAGAGGTGTAATTCAGTTACATTTAAACCTATTGCAACAATATCCCAAAGAACATCAGTCTCCTCTTTGGGGTGTTATATTATAGCATATGCCTTCACATCACTACAAAACAGATTTTAAAGTAAGAGTAGGTCCACGTTTGTACACTAGGGGGAGCCTGAATATAACTACCAACAAGTTCTCATCTATCAGTCACCCTCCCTTCCTAATATTATTTCAGCTCTTTGTGATATGATGCATTTTGTGTTTGTAAATACTAAATATTTTATAAAAGCAATTGCATCTAGGGCCTCCCGAGTAGTGCAGCGGTCTAAGGCACTGCATCGCAATGCTTGAGGCTTCACTACAGACCCGGGTTTGATCCTAGGCTGTGTCACCTCCAGCCATGAACCCCATAGGGCGGTGCACAATTCGCCCAGCGTCATCCGGGTTAGGGGAGGGTTTGGCCAGTGGGGCTTTACTTGGCTTATCGTGCTCTAGCGACGCCTGTTGGGGAGTTGCAGTGATGAGACAAGATCGTAATTTGATATCACGAAATTGGGGAGAAAAAGGGGAAGAAAAAAAAATATACACATTTGTAATCGCATCTTCGCATGCTTTCTTATAGAATTATAACCGTGTATTGGTTTATGGTCCGCTCTGCTCATAGAGGTGGTGACACACAGTAATTGATACTGATCATAAGCCGGAATATTGATAAACAAATTAGGTGGAAACCTGAAATGTGTAGCGGCTTTTGCAGGTGCAATGTTTAGTATAGATCACCATATGTGTATGCAATCACTTTGTTTTAGCTCAGTGTGTGGCCTGCCTGAGTATACCTTGGACCACCTTGCCCCTTAACATTAAGATCACTTTATTGGTCAATTGCACACAAGGTCCAACCTAAATGTGACTTCCGCTTTTAACCCAACCCCTCCGAAAGACACCCCTACATACACATAAACCCTTGCTGCTTAGTGAGGCTTGAAGGCAAATAAACCAATTCCAAAACATTGCAGTTATGAATAAGGAATGCATAATCTCCCGTTGTGCTTTTTGTATGGCCTTGAGCATGTAGTAGTCAGTGGGAGATGCTGAAGTGTGCAGTAAATTAATATACAGTATATTGTCTGCTTGAAATTCAACTTCCACAAACAGATGTTCCTACAGGATGCTTTAAATTATTCTCCTGATGTCTCAGTTGTGTTGCACTTCACTGTTCCCAATGACACTATGGCCATGTCTGAAATCTGTCTTGCCTACTACTTACTTAAACTGCATAATGTGTACTAATCGTACTACATACTATTTAGAACATACTGTTTAGCGGTTAAGAGCATGGGCTAGTAACCCAAAGTTTGCTGGTTCGAATCCCCGTGGCGACTAGGTGAAAAATCTGTCAATGTGCCCTTGAGCAAGGCACTTAACCCTAATTGCCCCTGTAAGTCCCTCTAGATAAGACCGTCTGCTAAATTACAAATCTAAATGTAATGTATAAAAAAACGAATGCAGTAAGCAACAAATATCAGCATGCTAGGCTCATTCTACTGAAAATGTGTCATCTAATTCGCAATTACGTTGATTCCTGCCACTCGTTCATTTTGGTACAGTGCGTCTCCTCAGCTGATTATGAGCTATTGTCAGACACACGTGGGTCTCTAAAGACTATTTTCTTCCTGAGTAGTGTGCAGCGAATTCTACTAGATGAAAAGCCGAAAGGAGTATGACATCCTGGCATTTAAAGCATACTACATTCTCAAAATTTCACATACTATAAATCTTTCTGTTTTCTGATACCCAAAATACATACTATTTAGAATGCAAGTACGGGTATTCAGACACGGCCACGGTGTCTTTTGCCAAAGCTCCATCCAAGGCTACTAGAGCACCGAGGTGTACTTCCATGCTGTGACCAGCAGGGGGCTCTGTGGCACTCTGTTGTGGCTTCTGGCAGTGCAGTTCCACAGCCACTGGAGCCTCAGGGTAGACTATGTGAATGTCATTATAAAAATGTCCACTGTCGGCCACCCATTGATCTTCATCTGTTCTCTCTCTGGTATTAATGCAGCCTTTGAAATTAGACAGCGGCACTGGTGAATGTAACCCTATTTGGGGGGGGGGGGGGGGGGGGGGTAGATCAGCTATGAAATTACCAGACAAATTTGTCAATCAAATAACATTTATTTGCATCATCCCCCCCCCCCCCCCCCCCCCCCCCCCCCCCCCACCCCAAATAAAAATTAAATCATCATCATTACCGGAGACTTCATCTCCATTTCTGTTGCCGGACAGACGGATAGACAACAGCTTGTCATGTCTGATTGCTGTGGGGGAGATATGAGAGGATGTTAAATGGTGTTAGAGCAGTCAAGCAGAGGTCAGTCAGTGGAAAAGTCTGTAAATGCAACCATTGGAGAATGCCATGCATTGACAATTCAGACTTTGTATCTGAGAGAGTGAGAGTGACTTTCTTTGATCGTATTTTCAGAGATTTCATCAGAGATCTGCTGTTGCCTTGTCTACCCAGTGAGTTCCCATTTTATACCGCTCTCCAATTCTTCCCTTTTTAAAGTTGATAGAAACCGCTGAATACCAATGACCGACTGCATCATAGCTGAGAGAGATGCTTCACAGACTGTCAATCAAACATGTTTTTTCACTCAAACCAGATCTCAATGTTGATAGATGCTCTGCCACTAACATACATTTAAAGAGGTGTGAAGATTTTGTTTGCCCCTATTATACTTCCCTGCTTTGAAAAATGTCAACGCAAACATAAACCGATTCCTTGTGTGCCCTGGCTGTTTCTTTGTCCCTCCTCCACCCCACCCCTCCCTAGCGTTAGATTGGGTCTGCTGTTTTTATTCATAAAGCGACTCAGTGTAAGAGTGCTGATCTAGGATCAGGTTCTCCCTGTCCGTTCATTATCTAAAAAAGCAAAACAGATCCTAGATCTGCACTCCTACTCTGAAATGCTTTATGAATACGGGCCTTTGTGTATGTAGCATAACCTCCAGACACAGTCAGATAGTGGCTGATGAACTGGTTTTAAAGTAACTGCCCAGTGTTTCCAGATGTCTATGAAATATGAGCTTTATTTACTTATAATATGAGTGAAGTTGTTTTCCTTCCCCCCCCCAAAAGGTAATTAAGTATGTTAAAAGGCTGCTTTTCTGTGTTGGAATGGTGTGGGTGTACCCCAACAACAGAATGGTGTGGGCATATAGTGGTCATAAAAAATATTTATGCAAGTAGACCGCTGATTGGCCAGCTCATCTTCCTCTAGAGCCCTGATTGGCCAGCTGGTCCTCCTCAAGGAGATGTCATGTTCTATGAGAAAATAGCAAGCATTTTTGAAACGGTCTGTTTAAGGTGGGATTTTTTATTTTTTTGGTCATTTTAGCAGACACTCTTATCCAGAGCGACTTACAGTTAGTGAGTGATTACATTTATTTATTTTTCACACTTTTTTAAAGTGTTTTTTCTGTAATTTATGCTTTGGCCACAAATGCATGTATAGACTCCTTTCTGTGTTTGCAAACATTGCCGCACAATGGCGATGCGCGCAAGTTGGTGGCAGAACACGGAGGAGATCTTATAGAACGCCAGCAAAAAAAGCCTCTATTTACATGTTGCTAATCAGTGCATTTCACACTACTTTTGGATTATAATTGGATTTTAAGGCTCGTATGAATGTCCTGCTTAATATAATATTTGTGTCATCATCGCAAGTCAACTGCATTATACTTAAAACACTTCAACTTCAAACAGTAAAATGGCTCTTTGGCTAGCTTTTGTATAATTAACATAATAAAAAAAATCCCCATCAACATCCATCAGTTTAAGCTAGAGATATCCGCCAATGTCGCCCTTCCGCATCTGCGGTGAAAGGTGGCAGAGCTAGAGCGGTATTTATCAGTCCATGAGACATCCCGAAAATCGATCTTCTCACGAAAACGTCTGTGGCATCCGACCGGTTTAAAAAAATCAATGAAAGTATGGAGGTAGTTTTGTGCCTGCCCAAAAAAAAGGGGTTAAATATGTATTTGTTGAATACAATTGCGAGTGTACACACACACACACACGATTGTAGTAGTAGTGACAGATGAGTGCTTTGCTTTATTGACATGTGCGGTGTCTTTCTCTCTCTTTCTTCTCCCACAGGTGTCCACTGCACTCACGGCTTCAATCGGACAGGCTTTCTTATCTGTGCATACCTGGTAGAGAAGTTGGACTGGAGGTAAGGCCTACCAATCCCGATCAATCAACACCCCACGGAAATGTGTTTGTCACACATTACTTCTCTGTGTGTGCATCTCACTGCCAAATCACATGTTCATGTATTCTAACATTGACCACACAACCAACACAATTCCCATAGTGGTTTGGCTTGCATCACTTCTGTGTGTTCAGGTTGGACCCCTGTAGTCCCCTTAGGGGTGGAGCCATGTTGCTGTGGAAGCAGACTTAAGCCTTGTGGTTGACCGGGTTGGGTTCTATCAGAGACTTCTATTACAACTATTTCTGCCTGCACAAACCATATGATAAGCGCCAATACAAAACCGACCACCTCATTGACACACCTCTGCAATAAAAGTCTCTGGGTTCTATATATGTGATGTCACGAGGAGGGATGCAGTCAGTATCAGTAAAGTCACGCTTGGGGAAAGACGGAGGCTCTCAGGCTGGTGGTGAAGAGTCAACTCCACACCTGACTCCAGAGGTGCTGAATAATTTACCGCAGGGGATGAGTGTGTCTTTAGGCAGAAAGAGAATGTGGATCTGTAAATGGGTCTAGAAAAGGTTAGCAGAATCTGTTAATTCCCTTGGGGTCAGTGTTGGACGTATAGACAGGATGAGGATGAACAACCTCCTCATTCTCCCCCCTCCCATTTCCTCTGGTTAAATAATCCCACAGTACACACAGACAGAGAGAGTCTGAGATGTGCATCAGTTCTGGTTCTGGATGACAATATCACATGTGGTTCATATTTCCTTTCTCACACTGTCAGCCACAGAATCAGTCAGCAGACATACAATAACTACTCTGCTACTTAGCAGCGATCTGATCAGATACGTTTGTTGAATAATTTTTGGTCAAATAGGATTGATGAGCTGAGACATCTAGGACGCTGATAGCTTGTTGACATCCTGTCTCTAGAGAGGTCTGCTGTGAGGCTAGAGGGCCTGACTGATGTTTTTATTGGATAACATCAGGGTTATATGGTGGCAACCAGCGCTGAACAATACGGTTTTTGGCAGCAGCCAACCCAGCCAGCCAAACCTTGCACTGTTTCTCGTTCAGGTGCATACATCAGGGCTCTACAGTGCGACCATTTTACTCGCATATGCGCCTAAATATTTTGCAGTGCGACCTGACATTTTAGGAGCACCAGTGCGCCTAGAAAAATTAAGCATTCTAGCTTTAATACCTCAAATATTTGTTATTGTGCTCCTACATTTCTTTGTGCGCCTACATTTTTAAACTTAGGCGCACACATGCTCCTTGTAAAAAAAGGTCAGCGTAGAGCCCTGTACCTGAATTGTCATTAAGTGGAAAAGGAATTGGTTCAAGGGGCACAGTTTTCTCAATCGTGTCAGACAGAATAGATTACACTTTCCTCCAAAACTCATAAATGTCATGACAATCCAGGGCCTGACTGATGTTCTGTTGTGTTCCTCTGTGTGTCTCTTGATGTGGGTCAGTGTCGAGGCGGCGGTGGCTGCGTTCGCCCAGGCCCGCGCCCCTGGGATCTACAAAGGTGACTACCTCAAGGAGCTCTTCCGTCGCTATGGAGATGCGGAAGACGCGCCCGCCGCCCCCGTGATGCCAGAGTGGTGCTTCGACGACGATGGCGACCAGGACGACGACGGCAACGTGATTGGCCAAGAGTCTCAGTCAGGCCCCTCCTCCTCTGAGTCGGCGCCGGGGAAACGGAGGAAGGAGAGACTAAAATTTGTGAGACTCAGACTGACTGAGAAAAGGGAGGGCACTGGGGAAATGGGCTGTTGCCAAGTAGAGAGACTGTGTCCCTAATGGTACCCTATCCCCTATATAGGAAATGGGTTGCCATTTGGGATGCAGTCTGAGAGTGACTGAGACAGAGCACTGGGGAAATGGGCTGTAGCTTAGGAGCGAGAGAGGATATCCATTGGTTCTGCTCCATATGACACATAGCTCATGTGGTGTGACTGAGAGCCGTGTGGGACCCTCTGTGAAATTGTTGCTCTCCAAATATACATCATATGCCTCTTAAGTCGGTTCCGAGAGGAGACTCCTCTGAAGTGAAACGAACAGGGGCAAATTTGCTTAAATCACAAGAAAGGAAAGATCCTGGGCCCTCATCTATTTTTCAATCTGTATCCCAAATGGCACTTCTATTTAGTGAACTACTTTGGACCAGGGCACATAGGGCTCTGGTTGGAAGTAGTGCACTAGATAGGGAATAGGGTGCCATTTGGGATGTAGTCTCAGTCACAGACCCAATGAGTGCACCACACCATGGAATGATGGCATTAGATAACATCAAATCTTCCCCAAATGTTATTTCTGGGCTGTTTCCTGAGCTGTCAGGACAGTGTGTTTTGAATAGGACGTCAATGTTTAAAATTTAAAAAATAAATAAATAGTTATTCTCCCAAATATCCAAGTCCCAACCTGTTGTGTGTCATGTTCTCTCTTTCTCAGGGTGCTATATTCGTGGAGGGGGTCACAGTGAAAGGCGTCACACAGGTCACCGTACAGCCTAAACTGGCCGAGATCCAACGGAAGTGTCAGGAGTTTGCGGAATGGGAAAAGTGAGGATTCTTTCACTCTACCAATCTCTTTCTAAATCTCTCTCTCTTTGTCATATCTACCCGTCTGGTAGCACTGTGTGTGTGACTCACTCTTACTGGATCGTTCTATAGGCTTTGTACTGTTATAGGCGTCCGCATGCTTCCCATCTGAAACAGTTTGTGCATATATTATGACGACATTTTGTGACGTTTTGGTCTTCGGCGAGGGTTCTTTCGTGCGCATGCCATTTTTTTTTTTAGGCAAGTCGAAGGTTGGTAGCCAAAGTCTATGCCCCTTCGTCTGTGATTGGTTAACAGTAAGGATTCTTCAATGAAGTGTTTGTCATTCAACGAGAGACTCGTTTTTCATGCACATTTTTTAAATAGAGAAATACTGCACCAAACATCTGAGTTGGATGTAAAATTGTGTGGCTAAGACCTCGGAACAAAATAACTCAAGAAATCTAATATTTTTTAGATGAATTCTGACTATTTTGAGGAAGTGTATACTGGGTACGGCGTCTCAAGAGGGAGAGAGTACTATTGCCACTTTTGTCTCGTTTTTCGAGCGGTCTTTTAAGCAAGTATGCAAGGCACAGACATTCACTTCGCCTGTTCTGCTAGGAGCAACTCAAACCTAGTATGCAGACGCTTTGAGACACCAGGGTAGGAAATGACTGTTCTGCCGTAGATGTCTTTCTTTACTAGCGATATGGAGGAATTGTGTTGTTTCAGCTCTACAGCCTCATAATGTTTCATATAAGAGAGGAGTTTCATATAAGAGTTTATAAAGCCTTCTGAATTTCCAGTCCCTGATGTTCTCACCAGGACATTGTTGATTAAAAAAAGTTGTATTCTGTGTGTGTTCTAGGTCCGGGTTTCCAGGTGCTCAGCCCGTGTCCATGGACAGGCGGAACCTTCGCTTTCTGGAACAGAATCCCTACAAGGTCAGCTGGAAGGCAGACGGCACACGGTGAGTCCCTCGTCTCTCGGTGTCCTCCTCCCTCCTCCTATATGACCACAAAGGGCTCACAACAGGTTGGTTAACACACTTATAGAATTCCCATCCAGCTGTGCTTCACTGGAGGACTTGAATATGAATCAATATGTGCAGTGGATTTGGCTACTTAGCGGTTTTCTCTCTCTTCTCTCCCTGGTATTTAGCTTCCAGTCCTCACTGAGACTATGCAGGAATATTATGGTGAGCAGCACATGCCTTTATATGGCAGTATCTGACTGTGCACTCAGCACTGAGCCACTGGCTTCATTTCTCGTTAATTTTCCTGGCCTATTAGTCGGGACTGTGAGCTGAATACTAACATTGTTCCCGTACACTGCACCCATGGATTTTAATAAACTTTGATTAGCCCAGCGCACTTGAGTGGCTGCGCTACTCGGTTTGTGTGGAGATTTATTGGCTGCAATTGCGGAGTGGCTGGACCGAGGCAACCACAGGAGTAGCCAGGGGCTGTGGCTGTCTCCCACATCCTCCTTCCCATTGGAATAAGACTTCCAACAGACCAACACAGTCTTCCCAATCACTTGTCAGTGTGAATTGTTTTGCCTTCCCATACCCTGGAGGGGGGTGTACTTGTTTTTAGTATTCTGGCGGCCTGTGCTGAAACACTTTCTCTCTTGATACGCTGGTGAATATTTTGTCAGCTGGTGATTGTCAAGCAAATAACTGTCGGTCTCACGGTAATTGACCGTTCATTAACATAAATACATTTGCATCTCCTGGCTTCCACACATAGCCTACAAGCCATTTTTAAAAGTCTAATAAATCCATGTAATATAGCCTACACCTTGACAATAAATCCATTATTTATTTTAGACAGGTCTAAAGAAGCATGATATGAAGAAAATGTAGTCTATTTTAGAAGAAAAGAATAGCTCTAATACTCTGAGTTGTCCTTATGTTAGGTCCTGATGTGGCTATGCCAAATGGCTGTGGGCTACACTAGTTAATTTAGCAGACAAGATTTGCTTATAATTCCATGGCATTATTTTATATTATTTTATAGTATGAAGAATACAATTGAACAAAGCTGAATAAAATATAAATATTTTCTCCAAACGATTTGAGGGAGTGGGCACACGTGGCTATTCTGTGTTGAGCAGTTAACAAAGAAATAGGTACTCCTATATGCTTAATTTAGAGTTATTAATGTAACTTTAGTTGTTCTACAAACGTAGGGCTATATGTTTAGATTTTTAATACATTGTAAGGCTGCATGATGAGACTAATGATGATTAGAAAAAAGTCGCTTGAAAGGCATGAGCTCTGCTTTGTTTTTTGTGCAGGCTGGACACACTCCAATAGTCTCTCATTCACAATTTGACAAGCACTTGATAATGCCTTGAATTTCACGACCAGCATCCCCTTTGTGGCCGTAATCCATGCGTTGTGCCCTTCTCCCTGAGTGTGCTGCGCAATCCGAAGCGTCTCTCTCTCACATGGCTCTCCGTCACGTGATCAGGTCTTTCTCACAGGCTACAAGTTAAGACAGACACATCTGGGACGCAACTGCGCGCATCCTTATCCAATTCCGAGGTGCATATTGAAGATATTGGAAGAACTGTCCACATTTACTTTTCGTCAGCCAACAAGATGACTAGGCCTAACGAACAGCAAAAGCACTAGCCAATGTCAATCTACTATCCCCCATAGTACAAAAGTTGACCTATTCTGTGCGAGAAATAAATATTCCAAACATAGTCTGGGACAGTTGTGGGATGCGATAGATCGCTAATTAATACAACCACTAGCATCAAAAAACCTTTTTTATGCAATGTGGCTGACTCAACAGATCAGAACGTTTAGCATAAAATGTTGATAAACTATTAAGTTATTTCTTCACATAATAAGCACAGCAATGGGCACATGGTAGTAGGCTATAAGCGCGAATGTTCCATTAGCAGAAAACACCATTATCAAAAGTGACCGCAAATGCAATTATGCATGTAATGCTTTTATTGTAAAGGTGCATTTTTATGGTGAAAATGATCTTCCCCAAACTTGAAACTCACGTACTGCTTATATATGCCAGTTAGGCTCTACACCCCTTGTAAAGCGGATTACTGTGCTTAATTTTAAGAAGTTATTTGCCCACTTTAGTTGTGATACAAAACGTATTAAAACATATAGGCCTATGGGCTAGGCTACAGGAGGTGTGCGACTGATTCGATAGGCTAATATTGTCACCCATCAGACTATTCTTGATTTAATCTTTACATATACTAAATAATATATGTGTGAAATTTGTTTTGATTTAGAATGGACCACTATCATGCACCTGTATCGAAACGGGCAGCGGGAAAAAATACATGTCATCTATGCACTTAAATTGTGAATGGAGGACGCTTTTCCACGTGGTTTATTTTCATGCCAGCCAGATAGGCTATTCTCCTGTTGTAAGTATAAGCAATGTGCTTAATATTAGGAAAGTTGAGAAAAAAATATAGTAGGCCTAGCCTATAGAAAGCTGATGGGATCGTTTTTTAAAATTAGCGGACATCACTCTGTTTTCTCCCGCAATTGCATGGTCTATAGAAATATTGCGCAACATGAGCTCATGGGCTCTCATGAAGTGTTTGATTAGATTTTCAAATTAATTTGCATTGATGTCAGAGTGATTAGAGGGACAATAGTGCTGAGTACCAGGGAGTTAGCAAGTTTGGTAGGCTACAAATGACCAGCAGCAGCATCAGAGCTTGGAGAAGCCTAATTACCGTGACTAAACGGTCTTGTGGAATTTGACTGCCTTCATGACTCGTGAGTGCCGGTGTGGCGGTAATACGTTCACCGCAACAGCCCTAGAAGGAACTAACATGTCCAGCCGGCTCTCTTCAGCCACCAACCCTTGGTCAATGTCACTGATGGGGTCCTTGGTGCACTGGGTCTTTTCGAAGAACGGCCCCAGTTACTCCTCCTTTATATAAGTGAGAAGAACCAGGCCCACCTTGTTCATTTAGGGGCATTTCCCTTAGTCGGTACAGAGGCGGTGTCCCCATCTGTCTATACTGTACGTCTGTCCTTTTCATGACTGCAAGCCATAGGCTGATGGCAGGCCGTGCTTAGAGCAGATTTATGTTTTCCAGAGCTGAGATGGATTTCCCATCTAAAACTCCTTGGTTGCATCCCAAATGCCACCCTATTCCCTACATAGTGCCCTACTTTTGAACAGGGCCCATAGGGGTAGTGCACTATATAGGGAATAGGGTGCTCTTGTGTTGTTCAGATAAATGAGAGTAGCTTGTTTTCTCCTGAGAGACCAGCCAGGCCTTCTTATTCACTTTGTAACGGCTCGCCTGTGGTGGAACCACTGCCTCCCCGCCCGCCCGCCCACTGCCTGCCTGACTCTGCCTTTCTGCTTTCCTCCAACCACTTCTTAAAATGTTCCTTCATCTTATTGTCACTTTTTAATGCATCTCCAATCGCTAATTGTACAGGAGATGAAACAAGCTCACTCTATGGCTTTTTGCTTCCCCTGGCCTGCACTCCAAAGTACATTATGAATGAGCCCTTGTGGGTTGAAGCCATGGTAAATGTTCAAATTGTTGCTCTGTAGTTTTTTTTTTGGTAATATCAATCGGGAGTGAGTCGTGCCAGTGCATTCATGCACGACTGAGTAGCATCATCATGAGCAGGGCCCAGTCATAGTTTAAATGCCCAGTTGGAAGGGAAGCAAAAGAAAGAATGGAAGTGAAAGTAGTGGGAAGGAGGAGTCATTGAATAGGTGCAAGTCTGTCAGAAACTGACGCTGATCTATTCTTTGCTGGAGCAAATTGAGCCCTTCACACCAGATAAGACATCTTATCGCACAATGCACAGTACGGCTCCATCAGTACACCAATAACAGGGCTTAGAGATATCGATGCAATGATACTTCCTGAGATTTGCCATGGGGGATTGCTTTCTGGTTGATGCAGCTGTCCACCTTTTTGAGTTTACTTAACCTTGTACATGCTGTCTGGTATCTATCCTAAAGGTTACAGCTCAATGCTACAACCAGTCTAATGTGAGACTCCATTCTCCCCATCCCCATTCCTCAGAGTTTCTCATCACTCAGCCAGAGACCTCTTACTTTGGATGTATTCATTAGTTGGAATCTGTTGCAAAATGCTTCATCTGTTGTGAAAAGTTTTGCAATAGAAACAGTTTACTGTTTGCTCTAGGAACCAAATGGAAGCAAACGGAATGAAACTGGGAGGGACCTACCTGAATTCGTTGCAAAACATTTTCAGTTTGAAGTAAACGGACAGAATCAGACTAAAGAATACACCCCTTGACATCTCTTACAGAAAGGCTAGGCAACCCTCGCAGGCATCTCATATTTTTGATTTAACCGACCTGGAAGACCAGGTGTGTTTCAATTTAGGCAATCACTGAACTTATCAATTAGCTCAATTGACCAGGTGTGGTGCCCATGTTGGACCAAATTATTCAGTACCTGCGGCACTCCAGGACCAGGTTAGCCTACCCCTGTCTTACAGTAACTGTCCAGTGAAAAATATATATAAAAAAAAATAACATATACTACCGTTCAAAGGTTTGGGGTCACTTAGAAATGTCCTTGTTTTTTGTTTGGGGTCACTTAGAAATGTCCTTGTTTTTTGAAAGAAAAGCAATTTTTTTTGTCCATTAAAATAAAATGTTGTTTGCTAATCCAAGTTTATCATTTTAAAAGGCTAATTGATCATTAGAAAACCCTTTTGCCATTATGTTAGCACAGTTGAAAACTGACAGAGTTGCAAATAAAAAGCCATATCTCAGACTGCCCATCTTAATCTTTAATTTTTATTGGCCAGTCTGAGATATGGCTTTTTCTTTGCAACTCTGTCTAGAAGGTCAGCCTCCCAGAGTCGCCTCTTCACTGTTGACGTTGAGACTGGTGTTTTGCGGGTACTATTTAATGAAGCTGCCAGTTGAGGACCTGTGAGGCACCTGTTTCTCAAACTAGACACTCAA